TGTCTACCTGGAACTTGGAGAACCGTTTTACTAAAATCATGATAACCCCGACATGGGGTTTTCAGTTAAGGTTGGATTCTTCTTGGTTTCTGGAGAGGAAAATGAAGACGAAGGTAGGACAACTGTCCCCATAAGCAGGTGAGAATGGGGACAACAGGGAGCAGGTTCCCTAGATAAGGACCTGTTGCTATTCCACACAGAAGGCCAAGATGCCCAGGTTAACTCCTCCTTATGCATCTCCTGGACCTGAACCCTAGACTCTCCTGCAAACACATTTCTAATTGGTTATTTTAGGAAGAGATCAACTAAACTGCATCTAAATTTTCCCGCAGGCTGAAGGAAAGCTGCAGGGAGGACCAAAGTTGGAAAAAATGGATGGAGAGGAGGTTCCCAGACTCTGCAGTGTGGGTGGTCATTGATCAACCTTCAATCTCCTCTCTCCGCAGGGTCTCCATATCCAGCATCATGGTTCCCATGGTCTGTGGAGTTCTCAGTAAGACCCTTGTCTTCAATGTCTTGTTTGCTGTCACATGGAGGTCATTTGGAGGACAAACCATGAAGCCACACAACAATGGCCTTTGATTTTAAGTCATGTCCTTCTCAGAAGAACTGGGGGTGGGGTGGGGCTAAGGAGAGACTGTGACATAAATTGAACCTGTAATCATGGATGACATCTAAGATCAGAACTCCCCTGCTTGCCCTGCCCTTTCTCCACAGTCCATCCATCATCTTGGGTATGTACTCTGTACCCTCAGAAAAGGGATAACAGTGCCCAGCACCACACTGGCTATTCCACCTGAATGGATGAATCAGCCTGAAATAAAGAAAAAGCCCTGTGCTTCTCCTCGTCAGCTTTTGTGGGAGTCATGAGGTTTAGGGGTGACCATTGCTATTCCCACCCCTTGTTTTTCCCTTGGACTGTGCAACTCTAGGCACCTGGGCAGGGCCCTACTATGGAGCATCCTTCTCTCTTGGCCTCTGGGACCTTTCTCTCTGAGAAACTTGCATGTAGATTTGTCTTCCTCTGTGGTCCTCTGAACACTCATAACCATGGACCAAGAAGAAAAGATCCCACCTTGGGGATTATGGAACTGGGAGATAGAAATCAAGTTAAGCTGGATGCTGTTGTCTACGAAACTCTTGGAGGAGGAGATGGCATCTGTAGGATGGGATTAGTACATGGACCAACATGCATGTCGTTTTCTCATTGACCCTCAGTACAACCCATGAGGCCAAGGTGTATGTGACCATAGGGAGGCCACAGGAATAGCAGGCCACCACCTCCTAGTGGGAATGAGGTCTAGAGAGTTCCCTTGCAGAAGGGCTCCAAAGTCAGAAAGATGGAGAGCCAGGGCTCTTCTGCCAGATGAATATCCTCTTCCTGGACAGAGATAAGGTGGGCATGGCAGGGCAGGAGCCCATCCCAGGCTGGGGAGGCTGTCCCCAGTGTGCCTCTACCTCCCTCTCATCTCCCCATCTCCTTCCAGGTGTCCTGTGGTCCTAGTGCTGTTTCTGGGACACACAAGCGTTTTCTTGTTTTCTATCTCCTTGAAATCTAAAGATAGAGGCCCTGTGGGTGAGGAAAGGATAGTACGTTAGCTCATTCTACTTGCACAATGCCTAGGGTCAACTCCATCCTAAGCTTCCAAGAGCAAACACATCTCACCACATAGCATCCAGCTCACTTGATCTCAGTCAGAGGCTGAGAAGTGGCTGTTCCACACATCTCAGGGGTAAACACATTCCTAGCAGGGAGACTTTTCCCTACTCCCGTGAAGAGCTCCCAAGTCTTAAGGCATGCTTCTATCACAGAAGGACGTTTTCCTGTGAACATGGCTCTCTGTATAATCCCGCCCTGGGTGGCACTGATGAGATACAGGGCATGGCCAATCCTACAGTCTCCTCTGTTCAGAGAGGCCTCAGTGGAATTCACTTTATCTTGGTGCTCTGGTACAAATCATCGGAGGATTGATCCAGAAGTCGATCATCTCAGGAGGTTTGTTTTCTGTCTAAAAAGCCAAACAGGATGCTGTGGTCCAGTCAAGCCTAAGATGGTGTAGTGCTTGTCACGGAAGCTTGAGGAACAGAGTTCCACCCACAGAAACCACGTGAACAGCTGGTTAGGGTGCAGCAGGCATTGATCTAACATCTTGAGAGGCAGACATAGGTTTTGCTGGTCAGACACCTAGTGTACTTGTCAAGTTCCAGGCTAATCAGAGACTCTGTACCAAAAAAAAAAAAAAAAAAAAGCGGATGGCTTGAAGAATAACATCCAAAGCTGAGCTCTGGACTCCACAAGCACTTTCACAAAAATGCCTGCACTTGCGTTCTTTAGAACACAGGGAAATTGAAGAAGACACCAAAGACACCTGCTGTGCACATGGATTGGTGGAATTTACATGGTGAGCACAGCCACTTTACCAAAACCAATCTATATATTGAATGCAGTCCCTGTCAAAAGCCCAGTGTAGTTCTTCACACAAATTGAATAAACAGTCATACGGAAATGTGAAAGACCCTGATTAGCCGAAATGATCCTGAACAATAAAAACACTGCCAGAGCTGTAGCCATTGCTGAGAGCAAGTTATACTACAGAGCCACAGTACTAAAAACAACATGGTGCTCACACAAGGACCTAGATAGAAGTCCACACACATATCGCCGCCTGGGTTTTGACAAAGATGCCAAAAACATACATTCAAGAAAAGACAGCATCTTTAATAAATGGTGTAGGGAAACTGGTTATCGACATGTAGAAGAATAAAACTTGATTCTCCTTTCACACTGCACACATGCAGACCAGTTCCAAACAGATCAAAGATCTTGATATTGAATCCAAAACTCTGACACTTCTGTATGAAAGCATAGGGTGAACACTACAGGATACAGACTCGGGTAAGAACTTTCTGGATAAGACCCTAATGGTGCAGGAAACTCCTGGGGTAATCTTTTATGCACTGTTTTGCCTCACTTGCCTAAAACACCTTCAATTGGCGTTATAAAGAGCTGAACGTCCAATAGCTAGGCAAAAAAGAAGAGATGGGAATCTGGGCAGAGATAGGAACTCTGGGAAGAATGTGAGGCATGTGGATTCGCCAGTCAGACACAGAGGAAGTCAGACATACAGTATTGAGGTTAGGAAGTGAACCACGTGACAGAATGTGGATTAATATAAAAAAAAAAAGGGTTAATTTAAGCTTTAAGAGCTAGTTGGGAACAAACCGAGGCTAAGGCCAACATTTTAAATTAATAAAAAGTCTCTGTGTTGTTATTTGGGAGCTTGCTGTCCAAAGAAAGACCCCCTGAAGAAAACAGGGCCAATAAACAGCATGGGGAGCCTTGTGGAGTGAGAGAGCTCCTGAACAGAGAAGGAAATTTAATCTGCTGAAGATACAGACTACGGAATGGGAAGCAACCAGTGCCATCTGTGCATGGACTCAGGATTCTGGCTAGAATATACAGAGAACTACGAAGGTAACAAACAATCCAACTAAAATGTGGGAAGTAGAATTAAATAAGGAGTTCTCCAGAGAAGTGTAAATGGCTACAAAATATTTTTAAGATTTTTGTTACCTTCTTTTTTAACTTTTAGTGATTCTTTGTGAATTTCATATCATGCCCCTCAATCCCACTCATCTCCCCATTCCTCCACATGCACCCCCTGCTCTTGCAACCTCACTCTCAAAAGAAAGCAAAACACAACAACAACAACAACAACAACAACAAAAGACTTGAAAAACTCTCACCTTGGAAGCTGCAGTGTGCTGTCCTGTGTCACCCGTCTGCGCTTTTGCTCAGACAGCTTTGCTTGCACATGTTCATTGCAGTGAGTCTGCTCCCAGGCCTCTGGCTTCCGCTACACTCTCAATACTGGGTCCTCACCAGGACTCCTCTCAGATAGCCTGTTGTTGCCCTGTGTCATGCCTTGGTTCTGCAGGACTAGCCCTTCACACACCACAGCAGTTCGTGGATGGGTTAGATGTTGGCGGTGGGCCAACACAAAGCCCTGGAACTGGGCCTGGGTACTAGCTGTGTCAGCTGGTCCCCTGACCCCCGCACCTGTGCCCCCAGGACCAGCTTCTGTGTTTTGCCCAGGTGAGAGCTGGGGCCAGCTCTCCTGCATTCATGCCTTTGGGGCTGGCTCACCCACACCTGCACCACCACAGCCAGCTCTACTGTGCTGCCCAGCTGAGGTCCAGCCCCCACCCCTGCTATCCAGAGTGCTGAAGCCCGCAAGGGGTGGGATCATTTTTCTGTTCTCAGGGACCAGCTCTCGAGTCTGCCACAGGTAGTGAGAGGTGGGTTGGGGGCATTTTCCTGACCCACCACACACAGCCAATGAGGTTCAAGCCTGCTCTCATGTCTTCAGGGTAGCTTTCCCACACTGCCCAGGTGAGGGGCGGGGCCAGCTCTTTGCAGTCCTAGGACATCTACATAGCCCCACTTGGCAGCCCAGACCAGGGATGTCAGCATGGCCTTTGGTGGTACACAGACATCCACCCAGACCCATGCTGCTACAGTGACATGGACCCAGACATGGCCCTCAGCGACAGCATGAGCAGGGACATCACTATGGCCTCAGGTGGCAGTGGAAGCTCCTACATGAGACTATTCCTCAGCACCCTTGTGTCTCCAGTTCTGCTGCCTTTGGTGCACAAACACTTCCCCTTCTCTTTCTCGCCCAGCTCTCCACCACATTCTTGCTCATCAATCTGCTGCCACGTGGCAACAGGCAGGTTCCTCTCCAGTGTCTCATGTCCACCCGTGCCATGTGCTGGTAAGCAAGAGGCCCCGAGATTTTATTTTTATTTTCAACTATGCATATGTGTAATCTGTGTGTCAGTATGTGCACTGAGTGCAGGGTCCATGGAGACCACAAGAGGGCATGGCATCCCCTGGAGCTAGAGTTACAAACATTTGTGTATGCTAGAAACTGAACTCAGTTCTCTGTAGGAGCAGTAAGTGTTCTTAGCCACTGAGCCACCTCTTCAGCCCACTGCAACACATTTTTACAGTGTTCAAAATCAGTAGCTACCAGGAAAATGCAAACGAATTTCTTCTGGGCTCAATCACAAGAGTGAAGATTAAGAAAGTAAATATAGGTAAAGGTGTGGGGAAAGAGGAACTTTCATTGGCTACGGGGAGTGTCAACTGTTGTGGTTACTGTGAGAATTAGTGTGATGTCTCAAAAGGCTAGAAATGCATGTGCCATGTGAACCAGCTATGCCATTCTTGGGCACAGACCCACACCATGCTGCTAAACTACAGAGACTCGGGCTCATCATTCATCACTGCTCCGTTTGCAGCACTAGGACACAGACACAGCCTGGAAACCCATCACCTGATGGGCAGTAGTAAACAGTGGTGCCTACATACAAAGAAAAATTAAAGTATTAAATTTTCAGGTAGATTGGTGGAACTGGAAAAACTAATGCCAGGTGAGGTAACCCAGGCCCAGAGAGACAAACACTGCATGTTCTCTCATTGGTGGAGTCCACGGTCAATTCTTTTGAATTATATGTTTAACTTGAAATATCTGTAGAAGCCAGGAAGTTAGCAGCCTGAGGGGGAGGGAGGAGGCTGTGGGAGAGGGGACAGTAGAACACAGGCTACAGAAGGAGAGAGGAAGTAACGGGGGGGGGGTTAGGTAAGGAAGGGAATGGAAGTGGGGGAAATATAACTAACATTATGGATATTTGAAAAAGCCATATTGAAACCTACTATTTTATAAAATATGCACAAACACATATATGCACGCACACACACACACACAAGAGTTTAAATGGAGTTAGCCTACAGGAGCGGTAT